TCATTTAATTCTGATTTAATTTTAATTATTTCTTTCCGTCTACTGGATTGGTGTTTATCTTGCTGCTCTTTTTCAAGAAGGCTCAAATGCCTCATTAAATTGTTGGTTTCAGATCTCTCCAATTTGTTGATGTAGGAACTCAGAGCTATAAACTTGCCCCTGAGTACTGCCTTTGCTGTTTCCCAGAGGAGCTGGTAGTTTGTGTGTTCATTTTAGTTGAATATCATGAACATTTCAATTTCCTTTCTAATCTCTTTCATGACCCACTCGTGATTCAGCAGTGTGTTATTCAGCCTCCATGTGTTACAGGACTTTCTTTGGTGGCTTTTGGTATGGAGTTCTAATTTTATTCCCTTGTGGTCAGAGAGAATGCAAGGTATAACTTCAATGTTTCTGAATTTGGACAAGTTTGCTTTGTGGCCTAAAATAAGGTCTATTTTTGGAAAATGTTCCATGTGCTGCTGAGAAAAACGTGTATTCTGATGCTGTTGGGTGAAATATTCAGTAGATGTCTGTTAAATCTAGTTGATCTATCTAGTTGATCTATGCAGTTGTTTAGATCTGCGGTTTCTCCGTTGAGTTTTTGCTGAGTTGATCTATCTAGTGGGGAAAGTGGTGTGTTAAAGTCCCCTGCAATTAATGTCTTTGGGTCTCTGTGGGATTTGAGGGAAAGTGTTTCTTGGATAAATTTGTTTGGCGAATAGATATTTAGAATTGTAATATCCTCCTGAAGGAGAGATCCCTTAATTAGTATGTAGCGACCTTCTTTATCTCTTCTTACTAATTTTAATTTGAAGTCTATTTTATCTGATATTAGTATTGCAACTCCTTCCTGTTTATGGGGGCCGTTTACTTGGTAGATTTTGTTCCAGCCTTTCACATTGAAAATATGTTTGTTTTTATGGGCAAGATGTGACTCCTGAAGGCAGCAGATAGAAGGATCTTGCTTTTTAATCCAACTAGACCGTCTATGTTGCTTAATTGGAGAGTTAAGTCCGTTAATGTTGAGAGATAGGACTGAGAGGTATTTGGGAGTTCCTGCCATTTTATCCACCTTCTTGGGGGCTGCTGCAACTGGGTTCTTCTATGGTTCTTGGATTCTCAGTTTGGGTGCGGTTTCTTGGCCTTTATTGTGGTCTTGTTGGTTTTCTAAGTGTAGGATATCTTTAAGTATCTTTTGTAGGACTGGTTTGGTTTCAGTTTTTCTTTGCTATGGAAGATTTTTATTTGACCTTCGATTATGAAGGAGAGTTTAGCTGGGTACAGTATTCTTAGTTGATATTGTTTGTCTTTAGGCCATGGCATGCATCATTCCAGACTCTTCTGGCTTTGTTTCTGCTGAGAAATCTGAGGTTATTCTAATTAGTTTCCCTTTGTAGGTGATTGATCTTTTCTCCTTGACAGCTTTTTTTTTTGGAGGGGGGGTCCAGTCATGGGGCCTGAACTCTGGGCCTGGGCACTGTCCCTCAGCTGTTCAGCTCAAGGCTAGCACTCTACCACTTGAGCCACAGCACCACTTCCAGCTTTTTGTTTATGTGGTGCTGAGGAATCGAACCCAGGGCCTCATGCATGCAAGGCAAGCGCTCTACCACTGAGCCGCCACCTTCCCAGCCCCTGTTTTAGATCTTGTATGAACTTCTTTACTTCCTTAATTTGGTGTTCAGCGCTTATTCTCAAATCACTTAGTTAATTGGTTATGTTTTTCTTGGACTCCGGGTCCTTCTGTTGGGCTCCATTCAGCATTCCCTTTGTGGTCTCCCTGATTTCTTTCAGTTCTCTGTTTATGGATTCCATTAATGCCTCCATTGATCTTTGTCTCTTCTCATCCCAATCTCTCAGTTTCTGTATTTCTCTTTGATTGGCTTCCTCTGGTTCACGCGATTCCTGTAGCTCTCTTTGAGTGTTTTCAGCCTGCTCACGCCATTCCTGACTTTCTCTTTGTCTGTTCTTGGCCAGCTCCCACAATTCCTGTCTAGCTCTTTGACTGATCTCAGCCTGCTCACGCCATTCCTTTATTTTTCTTTGAGTGTTCTCAAGCTGCTCACACAATTCCTGTATCAATCTTTGAGTAGCTTCCTCACGCTCATGATATTCCTGTATTGACCTTTGGTTTGCCTCCTCTCTCTCCCTATCACGCTCATACAGAGTCCTTTGCAGGTTTTCAATCTTTTCATTTACCATATTTACCAGTAGTGTTTGTAGAGCTTTTTGGGAACTCTCAATTATTATCTGTTCTGTCCCCTGATTATCATGAGTGGGAGTTGAGATACCTGGACTTGCCATTTTTCTTGTGTTTTTCTGGCTTGCCCTGCCCATTTGGGATGAAAATAACACCAGTTTTGTGGCCCTGCCCATTTGGAATGAAAGAAACACCAGATTTGTGCTAGAACACTATCTTAAGGTAAGCATCAACCAAAGTCTGTAGTTGCACAGTCAAAAGTCTGCAGATACACTCTAGTTCAACAGATATATTTATTCAACATCAAACTATGTATTAATGGACTATGAACCGCAAAAAAGAATTTGGCAAACCAGAAATTATTAGGTTTAGGGAGAGATGTGGGTAAAAATAGGAATAGAGGCATGTGGAAAGGCAGAGGGAGAGTTAACTAAGTCCTAATCTCAAAGCGGGAACTAGGTTGGATAGAATGATAGAGAAAAAGAAAAAAAAGACAATAGAAAAATATTAAAAATTAAAAAGTGAAACAAAAATTTAAAAGTTATGCAAAATTAAAAACATAATATTCAGAGAATATGGATAGGATAAGAGTAGGGATAGAAAGGAGACGTGAAAAACTTAAAAATGCTTAAAATATATAGATATAAAGAGGTAATACTGCTATTAAGGAATTTAAGTCTAAAAGGTTTAGAATTGAGTAATTTCTAGATTAAGTGTGTACACAATGGGGGATAAGGTCTAATAATCAACTATGGGTATATCTGAGGATGAGCAGAACAGCAATTAAGTCATGCAAAGAAGAACAAAAGAAGAAAAGGTGAAAAGAATAAGGAAAGAGAAAAAAAGGATCAAAAGGTCAGTAGAGCTAAACAAAAAAAATTTTTAAAGAAAAAAAAAAGCACACTTAAATCCCTAAAATAAAAATTATGAGGAAGAAAAAAATAGAAAACAAATTTTTTTTAAAGTTAAAAACTAAAAATTTTTAGAAAATTTTTATAAAAGGTACAAAAAAAGAGTTCTTTGATTTTTTTTTGGGGGGGGATGGGAAGATCCTGTATCTCCCTTGTGTCAGTAACCAGTCTCTTGTTGGAGTCTCTGGTCTGCTTGTGGTGTTAGATTTTCCTGTGGCTTGGATGGTTTCTTAGTTTTTTGAGCAGGCAGAAAAATGCTCTACTTTACCCAGGATTTTTTGATCCTCCTCCCAGGCTAGTTCAATGGGAGGGAGATCTGCTTTGAGTATCACAAAAGAGGGAGATGGCTGTTTCCTCTAGTTTGGAGATGCTGTGATGAGGCTAGGTTCTGGGTGGAGTTGAGGCCTTTCATCAAACAGTAGCTTTTCCCTGAGGGGCTAGCTTGTGAGAAACTCACAGAGCCCAGCCTGGAGCCATTCTCAGGGTTTATGTTTATTGAATTTCAATTGTCAAGGCTGCCGTAGAGAGGGGCAGCCTCTGGCTCTATTTACCCAGTGAAGAAAGCCACTCCTGGGGCTGTTGGCCTGGGCTGGGTGACTTTTCCCTGGGTGGAGCTGAGCCTGCCCAGTCAGGTAGGTTCCTGTGACCTGCTAAATGACTTGTTTTCTTCCAAGGCCTGAGTTGGAGCTAGCTGCTCAGCCAGGCCTTTTGTCAGTTGGAAATAACCGGTAGTTGGGGGGTGGGGGGGGGAGGGGTGGCCTTCCCTCCTCTGTTCCCTGAGAAGGAGTGAGGATGTCAGGCTTCTACTCTCGCTGAGTCTTGTTTCCGGGGTCGTCTCTGGTCTGCGAACTGCAGGATGAAGATGTCTGTTCCTTGTCAGTTCTTCCTGGTGTTGAGTAGAATCCGCTCACCCACCACATCTGATGCCTTCGTCCCGGACTCTGTTGCAAGTATGGCGGCTACGCAGCTGCAGCCTCGGCTATTGGCAAGCCTCGGCTATTGGCAAGTGCTCAGATCTGTCTCCTTGCCTGGATTTTCCCTCTCTGGCCTAACTCTCTGTCCTGTGATGGCACACTTGGTGTGATTCTCTGGCTTAGGACTGTTCACTGGAACACTAAAACTGCTTTCTATGTGAGAGCTTGTTTAGTCTCCAGCTTCTCCGCCATCTTCCTGGAAATCTCGTAAATTTTCGTATAATTTAAGAAAGAATTTTGCTGAAGCCAGATGCTTATGGCTCATACCTGTAATCCTAGCTATTCAGGAGGCTGAGATCTGAGATTGAACTTATAGAAGCCACACCAGGTAGGAAAGTCAGTGAGATTTTTTTTTTTGCCAGTCATGGTGCCTGAGCTCTGGGCCTGGGCACTGTCCCTCAGCTCTTCAGCTCAAGGCTAG